GGTGCATCGAAGCATAAGGTCTTGTCTGAAGAGGAGAAAAAAATAAGTTTAAGTTAAGAAGCTCTTACATACATATCATAAATCAAGTGAGTTACAAGAAAATACTGATCAAAAGATTCCCTTTAAAGATTGAATGAAATTGTGATTGTATTTTAAAGTATGCTTATAATCATCCCTCTTATTGTTTTTTTTTATTGTATAAGGTAGGATGTTTAACAAGGGCATGATGTCCCCCATGGTATATTTTTTAATATGGGGTGCCCTATAATTTTTATTTATCATTTTAATTGTACTTAATAAAAGATAAATCAAACTTAATGAAATTAATATTCTTTCGTTGAAATTATTGTTGTTCATTCTCACTCTTCACATTTACTTTTTTTTTTTTGGGATAATTCAATCGTCTTCTATGTTACATTGTTAACATGGATTGCTATACAATGTATACTAATTAAAAAAGAGAACTTATTGTGAGAGTTTCCTTATTTATTTTTTGTATAAGGTAGGATGTAGTTTAACATTATTGTGATGTTGTTCTTACTCCCTATAATATATTATTTGATTTAGAGTACCAGAACCAGAGGGTGCAAGGATTTTGGCTCAAAATGAAAGGGTTATGGTTTAGGTGTAAAGCTTTTGGCTTAAGGTCCATGTATTTGGCTTAAAGTGCAAGGCTTCTGACTCGAGTGTGAGGGTTCTGGTTTGGATGCAAGAGGCATGGCTTGGGTGCAAGGCTTCTAGCATAAGGCGCAAGGGGTATGGCTTAGGTGTGAGAGATTTGCTTTAAGGTGCTAAGCTTCTGATTTAGTCATTTTCATGTAATTCATAGTCATTTTCATGCAATTTAGGGGTATTGGCAGGGGCATATTCTCTGTGTGTTTGATTTACATGTAATTCACTAGAGATTATATGTAAATAATTCCTTGGTCATATTCATGAGTTTTCTCACATATTGATTTACATGTAATCTATAGTCATTTTCATAGAATTTTAGAGGATTGACATGGGCATGCTCTTTGTGTGTTTGGTTTGCATGTAATCTAGTAGAGATTACATGTAAATTATTCCTTAAGCATGTTAGTGATTTTTTCCTATATTGATTTACATATAATTCATAGTCAGTTTTATATAATTTGGGAGATTGATAATGGGTGCTTTCTTGTATTTGATTTACATGTAATTCACAAGATATTATATGTAATTGTCTAAGCCAAAAGCCTTATACCCTAAATCAAAATGCATGCACCCTAAACTAGATTCCTTGCACTTTAAAGTCAGATCTCTTGTACCTAACCCAAAAGCCTTATAGTATAAGCCAAAAGCTTTGCACTCCAAGCCTGAAAGCCTTGCACCTCAAATCAAAAGCCTTACACTTAAGTCAGACTTGTTACCCTCAAGTTAGACCCCTTGCACCTTAAGTCAAAAGTCTTGCACTTAAATCAAAAGCCTTGCGAATAAGCTAAAAGCCTTGTACTCAGGCCATAACCATTGTATGTAACCTCCCTGAGGTTAAACCATAATTAACTCTAAATTATGGTAATCCAGGATTCAACCTTTAAGGATTACTAAATTTTAAAGCTTAATAAAAGGAATTTCTCAAAATTATTTCAAAAGAATTCTAATTTTTGACAATTCAAATCCCAAACATGATTTAAGGACTTCAAATTAGAGTTTTTGAAAACAAAGCGAAAGTTTGAAAATCAATTGGGACCTAAATAATAAGTTTTAAAACTCAAAAACAAATTCTGTATAAAAAATGACACGTGCGCCGCAGCTTACGGCTCCTGCGCCACGGTGTGTCTCCTCTGTGCCATGCGCCACGGCGTATTGCACGAATTTTGATAGATCAGTGTTGTAATTTAACAGCACAAGGAGTGAACTTCTGTCACGTCCCGAATCTCCATCTGATGTTCGATTGAGGTGGTTTTAGTGTCTACACGAAGCTTTCTCTTAGTTTTAGCTAATGGCACCAGTTTTACATTCAAGCTCATTTTCTATAAAAAGTTGGACACCAAAACCTATTTTGACCACATTTTCACAAAATCTCACAAATAGGGTGTCCCAACTCAACTACGAGTGCCAATAGCTTATACCAACCATCCGATCACACTTAATGGATTCTTGTGGACTTGTGCAACACACCACACGCAATCAAAAATGCATATCCCATAAAATCATCACTCAACCTCGATTTTCATAAAATAATAAGGAGGAGGAAAAGTTGCACAAAATCAACTATTTCATTTCAAATTTCTCAAAATACAAATGTTTCTACTTACACAAGTATTTTAGCCCTATCCATGGGTTCACAACCAAAACTCACTATCCCAAGGCACAAAATGCACTAGTTAATCACAAAATCATGCAAGTAGTACATAAATCTGACAATTAATCTTAGTTGGCAATTATATTAACAAATACACATGTAAGTAGCAAAAGAGAGGCATATAGAGGATTACTTCACAAATCCTAAGCCTTTGTATGATTTCCTCGACTCAGATCCGATGAGCTAGGTCCTGAAAATATTGAAAATTGAAGGGTGAGTATAACCACTCAACAATCAAGTTTCACTTGACCCTTACAGTTGCATACCAATTGTAAATAGATGCAATTAGGTAAATAAGCACATATATCGCATGACACTAAGCTACGGTTCATAAATTAACAACCATGGGACCGGACTTGCTACAAGATACCATATCATGTTATTTCACAAAAGCATAACAAAGGATTACAAAAATAACAACCATGCGCCCTTAACACGTGCTGGACCACAAAACTAACAACCATATAGCCAGACTTATATGCATGATCATGTGCCAACCTTATATCTTCTTGTTACCTCCGACATGAAACCGGTGGCTATTACGTGGCTACGTCCTTCACGGACTAACCCAACCTTCTACTTGTGAGGAGCTACTAGACCAGGGTAAACTCACTCACTTATATAATCCAGTTTTCTTCAATACTAACAACCATAAAGTGTCGTACCCTTAATCTAGCCTCTTTATAAACCAATGGAGACTAGTTAGGTTCGAGTCTCTCATAGAATAAGTGGGATAGTCCAGAATTAACCATGGGATAAGGCCACCTCCTGATTCTAACAGTCGGTGCCACGGCTAGTTCCTGATTCCGACAGTTACAATCAAATACCACATGGATTTCAACCAATCTACTTCTCTCCCTAAGCGAATTCCCACCAATGATCATGCTATATACATGTTTTACATAATATGCATTTTGACAAATGATTCATAACACATGAACTCATATAACTTAATACTCCACAATTTAACACATAATATAACACAAATTTTCACCCATAGTAATAAATCACAATTAATTTTGCAAAACATCAAGGGTGGTAGAATCAAGGTTTTTTTTTTTCAAAACCATTTCACAAATCAAGCACTTACCAATATGCATCATGAATTTAACCCATAAATCACAGTTCACAAACACAATTAATATATAACTATAAAAATTAAGTTTTCCTCGGTTACCTCAAATCTTTGAGAAGTCAAAGGTTTGCCCCTTACTATAACAACTTCCCAAAGCTTCAACAAGCTCGAATGGTGCCAAAAATAAACCTCTCTACATCCATACCATAAGAACATCATCATTATCTAACTTTTGAAGTTTTATCAACATAAAACTCCACACAGACTATTTTTAACCAACTCATAATCACTACTTATTCATACTTAATGGGCTCACTAGGTTCTCCTAATGTACATTATCATTAATGACATCTCAAACTACCATTAATGCACTTTAACTACTCCCAACTACCATATTTATGGCAATTTTTGGATAATAAATGCTCCCATGGGCTATCCAATTTTAAAATCATCAATATAATGTTCTAATACATTAAACAACTCCCTTTACACTCATTTTAACTAATGGACTCTTATGGACCGAAAATCTATCTTTCAACTCAAACCCTATTATAAATCATCAAAAATGAGGGAGAGAAAGGAAGAAGAAGGCACCATAATCTTACCTTAGGTGTTTGGGAGCTTCATCTAGCCTCAAGAGTATTCAATACCGTACCTTAGCAGAGCCAAAGTCAAGCTCTTCATTTCCTTCTTCTCTTTCTCTTCTGTTTTTGTGCAGTACACGAACTGATTTATTAGAATTTTGGCCCTCCGCTGCGGCGCATGACACAGAGAGCCTGTTATATTTAAATTATCTCTGTGCGTTGCGGCGGACCAACCACACGCTGCAACTGTGGCACAGAGAATGGTTCTTTACTTTTCTTCCTCTTTCCTTGCCCGGATGGCCCGCCATCGATCCGAACCCATTTTTAGGGCTAAAATCACAATAATTATGTCAAGTTAAGCCCCTCTCGCCACACGCCTCATTAACTCACTAATTACCCTCATTAGGTTAATGAATCAGGGTTAAATTTTACAGATGTTACATTGTACCTTAAGTCACAACCCTTACACCTTAAGTCAGAACCCTTACACTCAAGTCATAACTCTTATACCTCAAGCCAAAGCCTTACACTAAAGCCAAAATCCCTTGTATCGAAGCCAAAACTCTTACAACCTAAGTCAAAATTCTTGCATTCTCTAGTTGTTGAGTTTACATATAATCCTTGATGATTACATGTAAACAAGGGGCGTTATTTTTTTTAGCAACACTTTTCGACTATCCTTCACCTGCCATCCGGCAAGTGCACTCTCACCTGTTGACCTCCGGGCACCAATTTTGTGCTTTTTTTTAAAATAACATAAAAGGATATTTTGATTATCTATTCAAATTATTTAATGAATAAATATTAACTTTAATCTTTCAAATACATTTGGTTTTTAGAACCAATTTTACTTTTAACTAGATTCTTTTCATCAAAATTTTAATAATAAATTTGTTACTTTACTACTCTTTTTTAAATTAAACAAAAATCATTAAAAATTTCTTTCTTCTCTTTGCCTCCATCAAAACCAAGCAAAAAAACATTACCTCACCTCAAACCAATCACAGCCCTGGGATCGCGTCCCATAATTCACGGTCAAAATCTGAAACAAGTGCCTTGCACTGTTACAGTGGCGTCCTCGTTCACGCCAATTGGGCGAACAGCTTGGTTGGAACTGTGCCTAGGATCGTCTCTCCTGCAGGACGGGAAGGGAAAATTTCAATTTCCTCTAAATCAAACCAAAGCACCTGAACGTATTTTTATTCAAATTACGCGCAACATCCAGAAGCGGACGAGTACTGCTCGTCGATGCTAGCTTGGAGCGAGGGGGAATGTAAAATCCTAAGAATGCGATGAAGTTTTGCATTCGATGGGGAACAAAATTGCGCGCACGACGCAAGTTTCGGCTTCGGAGTATTATCTTCATGACCTGCCCTCCACCTACAATCTCGTCTTGAAGGAGGTTTTAGGTCGGGGCCGTTTCTTCAAGTCTATTCAGTGCAAGCATGATGAGGGTTTGGTTTCTAGTCAAGGTCTATTTCAAGCGTGGTGACTTCATCGATCTCAAAGAGTACGAACGGCGTTTGAGTCAGATTAGAGACATTTTCCGTGGCATTGATCAACCCCACGTCTGGCCCTTTCAGGTCCTTTGCCAATAATTCCGCATTATTTCTTTTGTGATGCCCGAAAAGCTAACGCTATACTCGGTAGCTGAACCAATTTAATCGAAAAGGAAAAACTGAAGTTCATAACTTCGCTGATTTCCCAAAGCAGAAAGCTTTACTTATTAGTATGTTTCAACTCGACCTCTCAATCGAGATTAAAACAAGCAGGGATGACTGAGCTGCCGATCAATTAAACTTAAAATACCTAGTTTGTAAGTTTTGACTGTATCATTTTTAGCTTCAGCATATTGTAGTTCGAGGAAATTATCACAGTATATTTGGCTGCTAAAAAAAAAAAAGTGGTCTTTTTTTTGAACCCAAACAATGCGCTAACTATTTGTGGAAAAGTAAGATATCTAAGTGGGTGGAATTTATGCGTTTCCAAGATTCATAGAGGGACATTGTAGAAAAATTTGGTGCTCTTTTCCTGTAGTTTTTTTGGCATTTGGGTAGAGCAAGGTAGTTTAAATTTCTCACGTGGTAGTGTCACCTTGCAGTTTTGGCAAGAAACGGACAAAGCAGCATATCTCTTGAGGCAACATTTCTTCATAATCTGCATGATCGACTCAGTACTCGACCTTTTCTCAGTCTTATTAGAAGAAATGGTTGGCTTTTCAGGTCTTCTTCGCCCTTCCTGATTGCTAAAATTTCAAGTTTCTGACAATGTTGCTATTTGTTTGACATATTTTCTTGGGTCAATTGCAGTTGCTTCTAGCCGTGAAACAGAGCCATGAGAAGGGAGTATGCCATGGTAAGTCTTGGTTTAATTGCAGACTAGTCTCTGATAATTTAGGAAGATAATCATAAAGGATATAGAGTGGTTAATTAGGTAATGGTTATTGTGGCCAAAAAATACTTTATTTTGTTCCATAAGTCCGGAGCTACTGGCAATATTATTCCAATATTTACTATGGTTTTTTTTGTCCTACATCTGAGCTAAAAAATTTTGCCTTTTTTTGGCGAGATGTTGATTTTTTCCCCCTTTTGGTGGCAAATTTTATTTTACAGGTGATATTAAGTGCGAGAATGTTCTGATTACATCCTGGAATTGGCTTTACCTTGCGGACTTTGCATCCTTCAAGCCCACTCACATCCCATATGATGACCCCTCAGATTTTTCTTTTTCTTTGACACTGGTGGAAGGAGGCTCTGTTATCTCGCACCTGAGGTCAGTTTTTTCCCCTCTTCTATAATTATTTGCATTGCTTGCATTGATCTTTCCTTTTGTCAATTCAGCAAGTGCCTAAGAATAAGGAATAAGTCCATGATCCCCCTTCTCTCTCTATTTAATTTTTAT